TGTCCTGTCTGTGACCCCGAATTGGATGAATTGGTTAGAAAACAGATAGACAGATTTATACAGCCCTAACTCAACATCTTGGAGCAACCAAACTAATTGGGGAAAAAAAAAGCTATGAAATTAGCATAGTTACTTTTGCAAGATATAAAGTTTAGCCTTAGTACAAAATATAAGGTAAGCAATTTAAGTAAAGTCAGCAGTAGTAGCTCTGGAGCACCCAATATGTACTGCCTTTCTAGTCTCTGTTCTGTATTCATAAGTTGTAACAAACGTTGGAAAACCTAAGACCATATAGGAGTGTTTCTTAATTCAATCCATTTCACCTGTTCGTTGTAATGCCATGAATATTGAATAAAAATAGTATCTTAAAGGAAAGAATGGGGGAGGAAATGGAATCCATGTAGACGGTAAATTCTGCTGAAGGTCCCTATATGTCGTTTACCAAGTTTGCACTTCAGTGACTCAATCCAAGTAATGCCTGTTTTAACTGTAGAGCGTAAAATCCAGGGTTGCTCTCCTCGGAAAAAAATCAACCATTCTACTGTATGCCTTAAAAACACAGTAGAGTTTAAGATGTACTGTGTATATTGGCATATTGGGTATTTTGCTCTGCTAGCACCATTGACTGTAGCTATAACATTTCTCTGTTTTGGTGTTTACAGCTATGACCATCTTTCAGGCTAGTATTAATTACTAGCTGCAGTTCTACCATTTGACCACAAGAGAGGCCTCAAAGTTTACCCTGAACATTGGGTTAAAAAGCAGCACATAATTAAAAATATAATTTATACGATTTATTCCCACACACAATGCAAATATTGTTTCCCCCAATATGATGGTTATTTCATAGTTTAAGAGTTAGCAGTGTACAGTATGGAGCACATTTAGATTGCCTGTACTGTAATTCTCCCTGTTAAGAAGAGAAACAGATTCAAATGTTAAGATGTAAAGTCAGTGTGTAAACACAGCGGAAAACCGATGGAATACAATAAGGTTGACAAACATTGCTTACTATCAACTTTTTTCGGGTTTTCAGATCAAATAAAAAATACATTTTTAGCACACTACATCTTCTTAAAAATTATAGAAAAAAAAGTTGACCAATTCTAAGCAAAAAAACTTCTATCTACTTACTAATGCAAGTTGGCCAAAGGTAAGTGGAAGTGTTAACATAAGAGCTAAGAAATGACATTAAATCAGACAAAGCATAATCCTAAAATATGTCAGCCCTTCACCAGAATGGTTATGACTGCTTTTCCATCTCTAACTTGACAGCTGGTCTTGTTTTTTATATCTGTATCCCATTTGGATCCAATCCCTATTAAGCCCCACTGGCAGTTGAACTCCCTCAATAACCAAAGACAACTTAAGAATAACTTCAGACAACTTGTGCCGCAAGGCCATGCCAGGAGTAGGGTAAAACACACCAGCGTATCTGTCATTCAGCTGACAGAGACCAGACTCGATGTAGCCAGCAAGCGTGCCTTGAGACCTGACAATCTAGGTTTGATTCCAGCTCACTGCCTTCAGTATAAAGCTGAGGATACAGATGTACCCTCCCAGCAGCTCCCCACCATATGCTACACTGTGATCTACACTGGAGAATTGGATTTTTTCTTACAACAACATTTTAAATGCAGTACTTTATTTCATTTTAAGATATGTAAATTAATTAATATGTAAATGTAGGCTCACACCTGAAGAAGGCTCCACGGCCGAAACGTTGTGTTTTCTTTCTTCTTTTTTTCAGCATGGAATAAACCTATAACTTGTTCCTATATAGATATATATTACTATATAAAGCGTATGCCTCTAATGGATTTTATCCTGCATTCTTGGAACAACCAGCATAACTTCTATTTAAAAAACAGCAAAAGAGAAATGGTTAATTTTTCATTACCATCCAATAACATGACTTTCCACACAGACCTACCAAAATTCATATCTTCATTCATAATACCCGTGTCTCAATAAAATTAGCATGCTAAAGAACAAAGCACTCCATGAAAAATTACAATATGATGCACTGCACTAATGTATTTTCGGTGCAGCGTGAACTATAACCCACGACCTCTATTGGATAAAGTGGTTAGAAAATGGATGGATAGAAACTACATCCCAGTTTCAAATTTTCTAAAAGGTAAAATGCTCACAAACTTGCAGGTTTCAGCATATAATTAGGATTAATGAAAGCTGAAATTCCAAACATTTAACAACCATAGACTGCAACTCTGCTGAATTCTCGTATGACTCAGGGTCCCCATTTCTCTGATTCTTGCAACCTGTGAAAAAGGGAAGACTATACAAAGCCCCGGTTATGAAACCACATCTATATAGATTAAAGGAACAGTTCCTCTTCATGCTTGAGGATTGGAGAATATGAGGGGTCTGAAAGACATTCACAATTTTCAAAGGTACTGACGAATTGAACCCAAATGTTTACTTTATGCTCAACACCAAAATAACAATATAATTGCAAAACTGGAACTTATGAGGACTCAGGAGTAACTTTTTTACACAAGGAGTGGGGTGTTTGGGGAAAAAAGTTCCCCTGCTATTGAACTGAGGATCCTAACCAGATGTTTCTAGAAGGTTCCTATGGAAGCAGGCTCAATATGGTACTTGCCACCAAAGAATCATAACTTGTGAAGCTCCCTCATTTGTACCCTAATTTTAAAAGCTGATGGATTAGTTTACTTATAAATGGCCATTACAGCAGAGAAAATGGTCTCCCCATTTTTGAGAAAAAACAAAACACTGTTATTGTAAGATGATATACAGCCTCTTCATTATCAACCACCTGTTGTTAAAAACAAACTGCAAGCCTGTTTATCATGACATATTAATAAGACTGGCCAAACATTGTGCATATTATCACCTGGGCCCTAGCTCTATGAAGGGCACAGAGAGAGTGTGGCGAGTACAATACGTCTGCTGCCTTTCAGCTAAAAAGGTTCATGTCGAGACATTCTGACACTGCGGCTGAATAGCCGAAGATGGGCAGTTAAATGAGATCTTCCTCTGGTTCATTTCCACAAAATTAAAACCACATGTGCTGGAGTACTCAGCTCTCATTATATTTCCTAGACAATAGCTAACAGGCAGGTAAAAGAGTTTTTGAACAAAATGACAAAAAGGAAGAGGACAGTAACGGACTGAAACGTCTCAATATAATACGATGCACACTAGACTACTAAAAATTCTAGTGAACGCATTTTTAGCAAATAGAAATTAAAAGACATCCCTTTTTGATCGTATAAGAGACAGAACCAATGTTAAATAGGAAATGCTTTGTACTTAAAATGACTAAAATTTCCCAATGTCAACCACATTTTATTTTTATGAATATATTCTGTGAATCATGCCAAAAAATAAAATCTAAAAAAACGTATGCAGACTAAAACTAATTAAAACAACTACAATTAAAATAATTAAAAGCTATTAAAAGTAATCTAAAAAACAAAAGTTTTTTGTTTGTATCCTCCACCCTGTCCAACAATTTCCAGATTTCTATTTAAGAGTTACATAATGCAGGAAGAATGCTTTTGTTTTTACACTCAGTTAGATTTGTAGTGAGATGAAAAGAGAACTCCTTTGATCAAAGCTAGTGTCTGGGCTGTAACAATTACACTCTGTTCCATGGGGTAAGCTATAGTCAAACAAAGGATGATAATTTAACAAACAGTACTGTATCTTTAAGGGATAATTACATAGGGGACACAAAACTCAAAATTATGAATAGGCATAGAAATAACTGATAATATTTAAAACTGAAGAAAAGTAATAATAAATATTAGAAAGTCTAAGAGAGAGAAAGAAAAGGAATATTGGAATAAAAACTAAACTAAAGCTCCTGAAGAATAAAGTGGCCCTAATATGATACGCTTTGAAGTATATCCTTAAACACTTGAGTCCGAAATGATTGCTTACTATTTCAGAAGTCTATGAGGAATGAGACAGAGCTTCAGAGACAGAACTGGGAAAGAATGGATATGGATTGTAGAGACTGGAAAATAACAGTTTGAAGATATTCTGTTTGAGACTCTAAATAGGTCTGCTGCAATAGCACGTAAATTGAAGGGTAGTGGCCCAGGTGGGTTTAAAAAAGAGCTTCAACAATATGAGAGAAAAGAATGACTGAAAAGGGAACAAAACAATACAATGAACAATGGAAGGGCCAAGAGAGAATGAAAGGAATATTGAAATTGAAGCAAAAATGTTCTTTTCAGCATTAAAAAAAGCAAAAGACCAGCACAGGATGAAGTATTTTGTTTCAGGGAACCACAGGACTCTCGATAACGTTGAACGCTCTTATGGTGGAAGGCCAGCCTTTTGGCATAATACAGGGCTGTCCACCTCCTCTCCTGTCCAGCCAGATTGTATAAGTCTCTCCAATATCTCCAGCTATTAAGTGCAAAGAAACGTGTTAATTCACCCAATCAAGTAAATAATGAGTTCAATTATATAATTAAGCGCTCTGGTGGAAAGAAAAACCTTTTGGCCTTCTAAGACCGGAACTGTTCACCTCTGGCACACTGCAGTTAGTGGGAGGAACTTGATGGCTCCTTGATTACCACTGGGTATGAAGAGTCTAAATAATGAAACAAACCACAGGCACAGATAGTCTAAAGATCTAAAGTAGAAGATTGCCGACCTCAACGGTAATCTCAAGCACTCAACAACTCTGGGGGTGGTTAAAATATTCAGAAATCAACAGCAATAATAATCTGTGTGCAGTGTCTTCTTTTAAAATAAACTGGAAAGGTTGCCGGTTCGTATCCTGCGGCCAGCAGAGGAATCCTACGCCTTTGGGCTCTGAGCAAGGCCCTTAACCCCGACTGCTCCAGGGGCGCCGTACAATGGCTGACCCTGCGCTCTGACCCCAGGCCTCTCTCCCCGTCTATGTGTCTCATGGAGAGCAAGCTGGGGTATGCGAAAAGACAAATTCCTAATACCTGAAATTGTATCTGACCAATAAAGTGATTTCATCATAGTTTTACCTGCTCGTCGTGCTTCGTAGCAGGCAAAATTCATTTCCTCCTTGAGATCCTCGTTCTCCATGGCGATGGCCTCCCCAACGGTGACAAACCTGCCCACAGCGACATTGACAGCCTGCCCCACTCTCTGAATGGCTCTCAGTGTTTTTTCAGACTTCTTTGGTTTGTCTTTGTGGTTGATCAGGGTAGTAATCTGAAAGATGAGAAAAAGGTCAAGGCTACCCAGAATAAATCAGAGCCCTTGTTAAACTGGTTATTCATTTATTTGGCCGGTGCTGTAATTCATTGTGACTTAAATAACCAACCATTTATACAGAATGGAGCAAACTGAGTGCATTATCTTGCTCAAGGATATAACAGCAGTGCGATATCTGGGATTTGAATCCTCAAACTTCGATTTATAAATCCCCAGCCCTAACCATTAATCCACACTGTTGACCACATTGGTTGTTATAATTTGGGGAATACTGGAGAAAAAAAAAACCCTCAGAAATGTGGTATGTATACAGTATACTGCAAAAACCTCAGTGTTATTTTGTATTTAATGCTTGATGTCACCACAACCCTCACTAGACCAAGCAGACTGAAAATGGCTAGAGGTTTAATGTCCTAAAATATCACAGAAGCTAGGAAACAGCAAAAATAACAAAAAAAGCCTATTTTATAATTTGCTTTATTACTATCCAAAGACAACAGCTAATATAGATTGAGAAAAGGGTGCTATTTTATATTGAGCACACTCAAAAATCCATCCGTTTCTTTGTACTTCATGTATTTGAAACACTGTCAAAGCCAAAAGACCAGAACCAGAATGCAGTTTCTCAAGGCAGAATGGGCAACACCAGAATTGGAGGATTGGAGCACTATGGGTTGTTCTTTTCCTTCAATGGCAGATAGAATCAACAACCTAAAAACACTTTATACAACCTTTTTTCCCCCATAAATAATTAGCTCAATTAAATAATTAAGATCAATGTGATGAAAACCAGGCCTTCACGCCTGGAATTGATCATCTTTACTATCGATTTCTACCCTAGCCTAATTTAATAATTCCAACTTCCATTAACTGGAACGATAGTTTTCCTGCAATGAAAACTAAGTCTACGACACCCGTACTCTCAATTTCCACTTGCTCCAATTGCTTTTCATAACTGCCTGTTTTCCCAGATGCTGTTAATGACAACAGCAAAAGGAAAGTCACTCACTCAGTGCTGCTTTTAAGCAGCCTCCCCTGCAGATGAGTTCAGTTAAACTTTGCTGGAGTGCATTTCAGTGCAGTCCTAGGAGACCCAGGCTTTTGTCTCCAATCTCACCACGGACCTTATATTCCTTACTTCTAACACAGAACTGGATTTCTGATTTTGAAGTGCAATTCAATTTGATTTTTACAAGACGCACTCCAGTAACAAATATAGAGCCGTGTCAGTAATTAACAACAGAGGCAATTAATACCACTGCAACAGGCCAATCCATTCTCAGGAAGTGTACACTGCATGCTGTCTTCAGACAGAAACAGCTGACCTCTAAAGAACAAGACATCTCTTCAATAGGCGAGATGGCAGGATTAAGAATATACTCCAAAGGCAGTGGGTATTTTGAGAAAAAAGCCCAGTTACCAAATGACCTCTGAGAAAAAAAAACCTTATTAAGCACATTACAGAAAACAAGCTAGGGCAGTGAACCAAAGACTGAATGAACCATCTGACTCACAGGAAGCTGAGCTAAATGAGAAGTTGCTTCATCAGCATATACTGTTTAATACTGACCATACATCTGGTGAACAGCGGCTTGTACAGTATAACACGACACAGTGGGAGGAATTAGAAATCTCAAATGTCCCAAATGAGAGGGACTGACAGAAACCCTAATTAAAAGAAAGGTGCCTCAGTTTTCGCTTTCTTGGACCTTCTATATAAAATGAGTGACAGAGTGAATTTTAACAAAAACTGCATGCCATGCTACAGCAATAATCACTAAAAGACAAATTAATTAAATCTGTGCATTTTATTTCTGGCCGAGTTTGTGGTTGTAGTGAACTGAAAGATGTAAACAGTACTTCTTGAGAACATCGGGCAATAGGGGTAAAATTAATATTCTGTAACATAGGTGTATCATTTACAGCACCACGTTCTGTTTTCTCTAAATTTTAGTTTTTGCCTGAAAAGCGATACTTTTCGACTTGCTGATCGGCACTGACATGCAGACGTGGTTAATTTAACGGAGGAAGTTCCGCTATACAGATTAACACAAAAAAAACAAGCAGCAAGAACTCCCCCGGTAACGAGCAAACTACAGAAACAACTGTTAAATCTTTCCTGTCTCCTACAGCCACTTGTCATCACCTCACGCTTCCCTCCCCCACAGCACAGGGCTGCAGTCACCCCAGGAAATCTGAGGGGAGAGAAAAACACAGAAGCTCTCCTCACCCCCCCCACACTCACCCACGCTAGGTTTCCCTGCGACCCACTTAACAAAACAACCCGGGAGAGCGGCCGACATGCTAATCCAACAGCCCCGAGATATTTAGCGCTGCATTGCAGCACTCAGGCCATTGTTGGCAAGAAAATGACACAACAACCCTCTGCTGCAAGGAGGGCAGACGCTGAAGTGAAGGCAGACTACTTTAAAAGTCCTGTGACTCATCTAATTTTCATTATCCCTGGTATTGCTGCATTCTCGGGACCAATAATATACAGGTAAAGGTTCATTCCATGTTGAAAAATAAGGGAAAAAAACTCAATTTGGCTGTGCAGCCTTCTTCAGGTGTGAGGGAGATATGGAAAGTCACAGATAAGACAAAGGGGAACAGAAGACAGATTCGGCAAGAAAGGATGGAGAGAAATGGGGAAATGGGGCATAAAGCAGGTGAGGTGAGCAGAGTTTTTTGAAAGTTTCATCCCCATTTCCACAGTGTTTCCTGCCTCTTCTTAATTACCAGAGACTTTTCCTCTCTCCCTCACACCTGAAGAAGGCTCCACAGCTGAAACCCTGTTTTTTTTCCCCTTTCAGCATGGAATAAACCTTTACCTGTTCCTTTGCAGCCTATGCATGTTGATGCAGCTACCTATTCAAACATATTTAATATACATACAACCCAAACAAAGAGGTGTGTGTGTCTGAGGGGTGTGCAGAGGGCTTGCGTAGAGTTTACAAAGTTCTTCACTAGATATACAGTAAGTGTATGCAGACCAATTTAAATGTCTGTTAGTGTGGACAGGGGACAGGGCGTAATGTATGAGACATTATGGGAATTCTAGAAACAAATGCTTTGCTTGTCAACTCCAAGCTAAAATCCCTATATAGAGGACTTAACATCCTACCTATCAACCTACACTTAGTCACGACCCTTAATAGCTTTACAATACAGCTGATTTCAGAGACTGCATGGAGACTCACACTCTGCATCAAATCAGTCTTCTGAACCAACATTGAAAAGGAAGACAGGATGCACAAGCTGGTAATTCACCGGTTGACTTTCGACTCACTTCAAACAAATGTTCCAATTCCCAATTTATTTCTCGGTCTGACAGTGGTGGACCTTTAACACCCAGGAGGCCCGTTCATCTCTAAATGAGGTCATCAAAAATTTATTGACTGGGCCAATTACATTTCCAATAATTATCCTCTGAAACCGAGACGGAAAAGCAGAAAATAAAAAGCATTTTAATTGCCGCACAGCTGCAGGGCCACATGCTATTCCCAACGGGGATGGTGAATTTCTGAGTTTCATAGAGCGGGATTAAGGCCAAAGAGCCGAGAGTTGCATTTTGAAGCATTTTCCAGATATGTATAACTCGAGGTTAATGGTATTTTTTATTATTTTTATTTGCATGTATGCTCCTATACAAAGACATCAAGGAAACCCCAAAAACAAAAACACAGAACAGCGGAAGCAACAACAAGTTAGATAACATCAAGTGGAGTATACCATAGGATTCAAGCTGTTCAAACACCATCCCTTACTTAAGGAGCATTTTGTCTGAAATTCTTGTGTATTTACATCAAACATAGGTTGATTAAATAAATGAAGTAATGAATGGGAAATTCCAAAATAGTTGTATAGACTGGGGATTAATGAACCAATGTGTTTTTGTACGGGAATAACAGGAACCATCAATACAAACAGTACAACAGTTTTGACAGAAGTTCTCATGCGTTAGGCTTCGGGACCCCTGAGAGCTAAGTTAATAAGACACAGAAATAAAGAATGTAGGGTTTCCTTGCAGCTGAATCACAGGGGTCACAGACAAATAGTGTCCCCCTTGGTCGCTTGCCACTTCATTTTCAAAGTGGAGAAAAAAAAAAGATTTATTGCCTGAATGAGCACAAAATAATAACGCCTCACAATGAACAATAGCAAAAAGAAGACAATGATGGCTTGATGCAGACAAAATAGCAAATAGCAATACGTTTCAAGCACAAAGCTTACCTCTAAAATCAAACTAGTTGTAGTGGTCAAATAACAGCTGGTAATATTATAATATTTAAAATATAAAATATAATATTTAATTACAATAAAAGATATTTCGCAAGCTAGTACAGTAATGTAGCTGCTAGATAGCTAGAAGCTGGGGGGTGGAGGTTACCACTTGGCTTAAGCTTTTTCCTGTGAGAGACCCTCGACTGACAACATGATAAATGAAGGCTGAAACAGTGCCCTTTACCTACAGTATATAAGCCAGCCAGCTATAACAACCTGCGACTCACAACTGACAACCCACTGAAGCCAAGCAGGTGTGAGCCTGGTCAGTACCTGGATGGGAGACCTCCTGGGAAAAACTAAGGTTGCTGCTGAAAGTGGTGTTAGTGGTGCCAGGAGTGGGCGCTCACCCTGCGGCCTAATGCCCCAGTTTAGCGACGCAGACACTATACTGTAAAAAGGTGCCGTCCTTCAACTGAGACATAAAACTGAGGTCCTTTCTCTCTGGGGTCATTTAAAATCCTATGGTGTCTCTCAAAAAGAGTAGGGGTGGTCCCCTGGCCAAATTTCCCACTGGCCTTCACCAATCATGGTCTCCTAATAATCCCCATCTATGAATTGGCTTCATCACTCTGTTCTCCTCCCCACTGAAAGCTGGTGTGTGGTGATCTTTCTGGCGCACAATGGCTGCAGTCGCATCTACAGTAGGTGGATGCTGCACATTGGTGGTGGTGGAGGGGAGTCCCCATTACCTGTAAAGCACTTTGAGTGGA